ACGAAAGACCCAAAATTTAACCAGTGGAATATGACCTCTTTGGTTCTGTATTTGTCAAGCGCAAAAAAGAAGCTACTCATCTGTCTCCTTGGGGATATGATCTAAGGACAAAGTATCCCCCTTCAACTCTGGCCCCGAGAGTATCTCTTTCACACAGTGTAGAACGTCTCACAGCTAGGTCACTATAATTAGCTCTGACAAGAGGGAAGGAGGGATAACTTCCTGAATGACACACAATACGTTAAAAGATAGGGCGCTTGTGGTGCGTCCCACCCACGGTCGCACACTTGAAGAGAACGCCATTGAGTTCTGTCCACGAAAATCATCTCAAGTTGGCTTTTCAGTCCAGGCCCGTCCATCCATCATGGCCTCTCCGACGAGCTCTCCCGGGGCTCCGCTGGCTGCTTCATAGAAATCATTATGCACACTAATGCTAATAGCCACTCTTCACTGAACCTCGGGTCATTTCACACACTTACTTCTAGCCATTGAGGAGACTGTGGGGATGGCATTATCTCCCGGGCTACCGCTGAAGATGCTAACACTCAGAGAGGTCAAACCACTTGCTCAAAACTCACAAGGCTGGTAAATAACTAAGCAAAGATTTCAAATTACAGGCAGTCTCCTTCAAACACCTTCCCTGCGGGACTTCTCTGCTGGACTGCACCAGGAAGTATTCTGGGATACTGGGAAACCTGAAGCAAAGATTCAATGTCAATGGAAAGTAACTTTAGCTCTGACTGATACAGGGGGTGACTGTGGCAGACACGCTCTCGGGGGAAAGTTGGGTGTTCGACATGCCAACAATACTTTATTGTAACTGTGAACTTCAGGCCAGTCTTCAAAAGTCTACATCTTCTTCTACTTCAGCTCCAGACCCAAGAATCCTTCATCCAAGAACAGGATGGTCTTCCCTTAATGGAAACAACAAGGCTGTTTTTGAGGTTCGGTTTGCTTGGTACAGATCATCCCGCTTGAGGCAAGCACACTGCTAGAGAGGAAGATACTGGCCCACCCAGATATGAGGAATCTGACGCTGAGCAGGGACTTAAGTGACGCAAAGAGGAAGCGAGAGACCCGTGGCATGAACTCGTGTTTTTAAGGGACATTTTAGTTACAGCCCATTCTTACCTCTGTATAGTAATTACTTTCTTCCATTCTTTCACCAACTTAAAGAACAAGCAAACATAAAGGACTAGAAAAGGTGAGGGAAGAGCTCTCTGCCACATAAGATCACAGGTTTGCACGGAAGCCAAGAATCCACGGTGAGCCATGGAAAAGCAGCAGAGTCTCACGGTCCCAGGCAGGGAATCATTCTCAGTGTTTCCAATGTTTCACAAACATGAACTAAGAGACCAAGCAGCCCAGACACCTCACCCCCAACTGCAGCTCTAGGGGAGATGGAGCATCCAGACCAGCTGGAGAGATATATTATTAATATGGTAGCATTCTCTGAACTGGCACAGAGCCCACGGAAAGAGTGACGTGCCCGTCTGGCAATGGCTCTGGTTTGCAGAGCAACATCATACTCAGTCCTGGAGAAGCTCACGTCGACGCTACACAGCACTTTCTCTCTTAAAGTGATTTTGTCTAAATCAGTCCACAGAGATATCCAGGGAAAAGTCCAGCATAAAATATTAGAGGTTCATTCCAAAACAAACAATTATATCGATGTGAAAGGGGGGTGGTGTTTGGAGTGGAGATTCAAAGCCCATCTGTAGACAAGTGGGCATCCCCCCACAGAAGGGTTACAAGGAAGGAAGGATTCAACCTGAGTGCAGTATAGCACCGACAAAACACACATCATTCCTCTAGCTCCTGAATGCTTCCTCCCCTTCATTACCATGACCTAGTTCTACCTTACAAATCTGGCTAGACCGGCGTACACACATTGGCACAGATCAGAACTTTGGACACATGGCATTCAGGACAGATACAACCCTCAGGAACAGTAGTGGAAGTAGTGATATCATGAAGGTGGAGGGGGGGTGGAGTTGGGGTAGAGGAGGGGGAGGAGGGGGAACCCATTACAAGGTTGAATATATAGCCCACTCTCCAGGGGGACAAACAACAGAAAGGTGGGTGACAATGGACAGTGTAAGACATGAAATAACAACAATAATACATAATTAATCAAGGATTCATGAGGATGGAAGGGTGGGAAAAAAAGAGGAGCTGATACCAAAGGCAAGTAGAAAGAAAATGTTTTGGAAATGTTGATGGCACCATAGTACAAATGTGCTTAATACAATTGAATGATGGATTGTTATAAGATTTGTAAGAGCCCCCCCCCCAAATGATTCTATATATTAGAGGTTCCATAGTTCTCGGATTCCTAATCCAGTGAGTCCTGGATAAGACCTAGAAATCTGGCAATAATATATGATTGTGGACTTGAGTCTTGTCAAGTTGTACCTTACCTGTCCTCCTCATCCATTATCACACAAACCTGGCTCTATGCACTGTAGTCATCCTGATTTTTCTGAGGATTTGATCAGATGAAGGCGAACAGAGCATGAGTCTTTTGCAGTATATATATATATATATAATATTATATTATATATTATATATTAATACATATAATATATATATTAATAGAATAAATATATTCTATTTATTCAAGATGGTGAGTCTCTTAAGGTGTAGTGTGGATAGAACTCACCACGAAGCGCCATATCTTTTAAAGTATCATGTGTGTCATTAAGGAAGTCATTCCCATTGATCTCTTACCAGAGCTAATTATACTGACATAACTGTTAGACGTTCTGCACTGTGTGAAGGACATACACTCAGGCCCGTGTGAAGGTGGATACTTTTTCCTTAGATTATTACCCCTATGTATAAATAGATATATAGAGATAGGTCTGCTGTGAAAGACTCAGTTATGTATATATCCATTAGATATGCCCACATACGTAATTTCCTCAGTCATCATCACAGAAAGGTTAACAGAGCACGCGGGTTCCACCTGGAGCACAGGAGCATGATGAAAACCAAAGCGTTTCGTCTGAAGAACTTACGGTTCACAAACCAGAGCCTCCTCTAACCTGAGACCAGAAGAAATCGATGGTGCCGACTACCACTAGATGACTCAGGCTGACCAGGAGCAGAGTACAAAGTTCTGCTTAGAAAGCATAAAAAGGTAGAACAACCACAAAAATCGTTTTCTTTTTTTTTTAATTTAATAAAGGTTTGAAAGGGACTGAAGGCATCCCTGATATTAGTGCCCTAAGATAGTGTTCTAACTTGAAACGCAGCCGTTTGCAGAGACCGCCTCTCAGCCAAACAATACTGGGGATCCGCTGGGGGGCAGTGAGTTGGTTAGCTAAAACCTGCAGGAGAAAAATGATGCTGTCTGTTTCAGGGACGATGTATACTCTCACAAACCTAACGGGGGAATTCAACTCTGTCCCATGAGTTGGCGCGGACTTGATTGCAGTGGCCTTTAAATAATAAACAGTAACACCTGTGAGCCCTAGTGGTGGCGAGGTTACTCCTTGGGCTGTTAATTGCATGTTCAAGACCACAGCTGCTCCTTGGGAGAAAGATGAGGCAGTCTACTCCCAGAAAGCGCTAAAACCTCAGAAACCCACAGGGTAGTTCTACCCTATCCGATAGGGTTGCTATGAGTCAACATCGACTCTATGTTAGGAAGTTTGGTTTTGGAGTTTAACATCTGTGAAGGTTGATCCACTACGGGGGTCCAAAGGGCAGCATGTGCCCAAGCCCGGAGATGAGAAGCCATGAAGGAGCGGGGAGTAGATGAACATCACGGAGCCCAGGAAGATAACGGAGAGAGTGTTGACCTGTTGTGGGACTTGCAACCACTGAACCATGTGTGTATGAATGGCTGATGGAAAGACTAATTTGCTAATCACCTAAGGCCCAAAATATATATTTTTAATTTTAAAAAGTATGTGTATATTCAAAAAAAAGGAGGGGGAATAATCAGTCCTAGTATGGTCAAATTCCCCCTAACCCCAAACCCATGGCCACCAAGTTCATAGGGACCCTAGAGACCTGCCCCTGTGGGTTTCCGAAACTTTACATCGTTACCAGAGGAGGCAGCCTCATCTTTCTCTCCAGGAGCAATTGGTGGATTCAAACTGCTGACCTTACAGTGCATGTAATCCCTGACACCACCTCGGCTCTTTTTCCGCTCTGCCACCAGTACAGCACTAGTGGGGCAGCACTCATAACCCACTGAGCACAACGTGTCCCAAGCCCATATTCTCTTAGGTGACTGGATGTTGATTCTGAAGTCACTTTGAAAAACACTGTCCTTAGATTCCTCCTTGAAGACTGCTTTCAGGGCCACTGGTAGGTACAAACCATGATTATATGAATAGCTTTATTTGGGTCAAATCTTCATTCTTTGACAGCTAATTCTATTTTCAGGAAACACGTTGTTGGAAAGCTATGTCAGAATGCCCAAGCAACCATTTGATCTTGACTTTTTCCAACTAAAGTTCATCACTGCCCCCACCCCACTCACCTGCTTTTCCCACTGCACCACCCCCCTTTCTGGGAATGCCTCCATGTGTCATGGACCTGGCTGTGTACAATCATTTCTTCTAAAGGGCAAGATGAGGATTTGGGAATAGACATGGGTAAGACTGTTCTATGAGATAACTACAGTCTGAATTGCCGTGGGATGTGATGTTTTTATTTGCAATCATTGCGGCCCATCTCAAAGAAGAGACTGGTGATAATTTGGGGGAACCTTAGCGTGGTTCACGACACAGATGTCAGCAGTCCAAGATGTGGGGAAAGCAGTTTCGAGGACTAGAATGGTTCCATTTCTCACGGGGAACAAGTACCTGAGTGTGGAGAATCAGGTCAGGTCTAATGTAACTACTCTAAATGAAGTACTGAATCTCATAACACAGATTTTGAGAGAACACATTGTACCTCTGGTATCTTTGGGGAGGCAAAGGACCTCATGGCATTCAGAGACTGGCTATGAGATGGTTGGATCACACTGCCCCTCCACTCAGTACCTGTCTCTGGTTCTCCGTCTCCAGGCGCAGCCTGGCCTCCACACACCTCCGTGTCTCCAGGAAGGCTTGGCGCTGGGCCCGGTCTGACAGGTAGCTGATGAAGATTCCAGCAGTATTCATGCACATGAACAGCACTGCCTGGGCCAGAACCTGAAACAGAAGCACACACACAGCCCGGTCAGGCGGTGTAGACAAGAGCAAGGTGGGGGGCAGAGAGAAACAAAACAAAACAAAAAACCCTGAAGATTCCATCCTTCTTACAGAGTAACCCAAACGTCGAGTGGCAGTTTCATAAAACTATCCCTTGATTTGAGTTTGAGGGCAATGGCGCCACCTCAGAGCGACCTCCTTGACCACTTTAGGTAAAGCCTCTCCCCTCCCCAACTTTGGGCCAGGGTCTGCACTTGAACTCCTGAGCTAAGAAAGGGATGACGGTCAACTTCCTCGCTCTTCCCTCATTCCCCCTGGGAGAGATGCTAAAGGACGCTCTTTGGGTTAAAGAGGTGCAATGCCAGATGGAAACCTAGCGTTTCTGATGGAACGGAGAACATGAGAAATGCTAAATGCCGGCTTCGATAGGAAGAAGACAACGTATTCCTCTTCTTGTCTTTGAAACACACGTGACACGTCAAATGGCAAAATGACAACATCATCTGCTAGGTTTTATAGTGCCAAGGAAATTTATGATAACTGTAATAAAAAGGATCCTGGGAAGTCACAGTCAAGCAGCCAACAGATTACAGTTATGTTTTCAGTAACAGAAGGCAAATTGAATGGAATAGGGAAAAAAAAAAATTTGAGGTCATATAAAGCAAAACTCCTCAGAACGGGGCCAAGAGACAGCATCATGGGAAATGGCGGAAAGACTGAATTCGCTGAGGATTTCAATTATTTGCATCATCACTCAATGCCCATGGAAAGAGCAGACAGAAATGAGAGAATGGACTGCATGGGGTAAATCTGCTGCACGAGTCCTTTATCACGGGTCCAAAGCTAAGGATGTCACCTTGAAGTAATAAGGCACTCTTGACCCAGGCCATGGCACTTTCGGTCGCACCAAATGTGTGCAAAAGTTGGACAATGAATAAGGAAGACCAAAGTATTGCTGCCTTTGAATGGTGGTGCTGGCCAAGGATATTGAATCTACTATGGACTGCCGGAAGAATGAAGCAATCTGTCTTAGAAGAAGTACAGCCAGAATGCTCCTTAGATGGGAGGGTGGAGGGACTTCATCTGACGTACGTTGGGCACATTATCAGGAAAGACTCGCCCCTAGAGAAGGGCATGATGCTTAGTAAAACAGAGGGTCAACCAGAAAGAGGAAGACCCTTGATGTGGTGGATTGACACAGTGGCTGCAACAATGGGTCCCCAAACAGGAACGACCGTGAGGGTGATGCAGAAGCAAGCTATGTTTCATTCTGTGATACACCAGAGTTGCTGTGAGGTATAATAGACCCAACTCAATTGCACTGAACAACAAAACAGCTCAAAGGAAAGTGTAACAATGTATTAGACTAGTTTTTATCATTTCAACCTGTTTACATTTTACGTAATGTGATATAATATTAATTCAAAGTCGACTAAGAACAGTTATATTGTAATCTCAAAAACAACCCTTAAGAATGCAGACAAAACCTCCCAGTAAGATGACAGATACACCTGCAGAGGATTGTATATACCCACAGCAGTCCTGGTCATGTGGTCAAAGAATAGGTACCACCCACATATCCATGAACTGGTGATTGGATGAGAAACGTGGTGAATCCACACCAGGGAACAGTAGGAGGCAGCTTCAAACGGTTCATGGGAAAATAGAATAGAAAGATGATGGAATTTTTTTCATGAACTTTTGGAAGCATCTTCATAGTTAGCAATCAGAAGGGAAACAAAACTACTGATTACTTGCTTCCACATGGATAGCGTCCAGAAAAATGCTAAGAAAAGGAAGTCGGACAGAAAAGAACAGGACTCACATAGAAAGAAAATATTCTGAAAATGCTGATGGCAACACATGTACAAAAGTGCTTGGCACAAGGGATGGATGGATGGATTGTGATAAGAGTTGTACGAGCCCCTATTAAATGATTTATTTCAAAAATGTCTAGAAGAGGATTGGAAAGGTCAGTGGTTCGAACCCAACAGCAGCTCCTCAGAAGAAAGCGGAGGTTCCCTGCTCCTGTAAAGATTTACAGCCTTGGGAACCCACAAGGGCAGTTCTACTTGATGGCCATGAAGTTGTTGATTTTTCTTTTTTTTGCAAGGTGGTGTGGTGCGAGGTGGGTTAGAAGTAGGACCAAGGATCAACTGGAACAAGTCCAGGCTCTTTAGGAGCAATGGAAGTGTTTCTAAAAGTTGGATTATGGTGATAGTAACTCGACATTTGACGTTTCCTGAATGTGGTAGTCCTTTGATTTATGGATTTAGCAAAAGGATAACATAGCAAACCTAAAGAAGGACATGTTAACAATAAAAGGAGCAGAAATTAATGAACATAAAATGAATTTCAATATACAACATGATCCATAAAATCAAGTCTCTTCTCTGAAAACACTAATCAAAAGAAACACATAGAAGATTTTTTTAAAAAGGAACAAATAAGCAAATATTCATGAAAATGAGAGATAATTGAAGAAACAGAAGATGTTGATAGATAATAAAATAAATGATGCTGTTTAATGCAAATGAAAATCTTAAAATTTATGTATTTCTAAAACATATTTTTACTGAAATGAATCCAAGAAGAGAGAAGAAGGGAACTTAGCTAAGTGAAAATCGTCATTAAACATTTTTGCACCAGGAAATCAATGGGCCCAAATGGCTTCAGCTCAGCATTCCTCAGACAACTCCGGAAGAAATCATTTGCATTTTTCATATTCTTTTTAAGAGAAGAGAAAAAAAACACTTTGCACCTCAGTTTACAAGGGCAGCATCACCCCAATACCCCAAACAATTTAGTTCACGTAATAAAGATAAGCAAAGGGCAAATCTCACTGATGATAGAAGGAACAGTCCCCAAGCGGAATATGATTAGCAGGTCAAATTCATCAATGAGTAGAAAACGATAATACAACTTGACTGTATCGTATTGACCCCAAATGTGACTTTCGCATTATGAAACCAACTCACAGTGTTGGTACAGACAAAGGAGTAGACAACACGGGCCTGGCCAGAAGAAGGATGCTCATTAGCAGCTCAGTTGAGTTCCTCTCCAAGCCTCTGGTCTCCTTATGTAGAGGGACAGCCCTTCAAGAAGGAGAGGGTGGAGGGTGAGTGAAATCCAGGAAGACCCCGCAGGAGACAGGACCGCAGTGGCTGCAAGAATGGGCTCAAACATGGGAGAGATGGTGCGGCTGACGCAGCCCCAGGCAGCAGTGCGTTCTGCCGTACATTGTCGTTCACTGCGGGTGGAAACACACTGCGGCACCTGACAATAACCATGTAACTCACCTTTTCTGCTTTGAGGGAAAGAAAGAATGGAAGGGGCGAAATTATAGAGGTATCATCCCATTTATGAAGAAAAAGCATCGAGAAAACTAATATTAAACTGAAGATCCTCTAATTAAAAAAAAGATTCTAGCAAACTGAGATTAGAATTGAACTTTCTTCATCAGGACGCAGGTGAGCTTCCTGTAGGACAAGAAACAGTACCCTGGAAGCAAGCAGTGCTCTAGGACCACGGTGAACTGGTGAAAACAGCCTCACGATCAGAATGCCAGTCCTCACCAGAACACATTCCATGTCATCATGCCACCAGGGCGCCTGCCATCACTGGTTAGAGGAGAGGGAAAGTATTGGTAGGTGTGTGTCCCACAGCAAACTAACAAACTCCCTGCCATCGAGTCGAGGCCTGCTCAGAGTGACCCTCGAGGCCAGGGGAGAACTGGCCCCATGACTTTGCAAGACTGCAACTCTTTACGGGAGTAGAGTCACATCATTCTCCCTGATGAGCCACTAGTGGTTTCAAACTGCTGACCTTGCAGTTTTCAGCCCAACTTGAAACCACTAGCCAACAGGGCTCCCTCTATAGCCCTCAACCCAACACCATGCGCAAAATAAATGCCAGTGGACCAAACAGATCATGTAGAAAATGAGACCATATTGCTCAAATTTGCTAAGCAGCAAACCATGAGTAAAGTCTCCAATTTAAGCTATTTTTGCCTGTGTGTGTTCCTTTGTACATAAAGCAGCTTAGTTGGGACTCACTCAGCAGCACCGGCACCAGCTTTGTGCTGGAGAAGCCCTGCTGGCAGAGTGGGTAAGCATTCAGCTGCTGAGAGGTTGGTGGCTCAAACCCACTAGTTGCTTCCATGGAGAAGCCATCTATTTCTGTGAGGATGACAGGGGACCATGCAGGGCAGTTCTATTCAGCTGTACAGGATCTCTGCCACTTGGAATTGATTCCAGGCAAGGAGCATCCTTTGGATTAATGAACACAAGCACGTGCATTGTTGATAGGAAGATAATTTACTGGAAAATGCCAACAAAGCAAATTGGCAACAGGTTACAAATTTCCCCTCATTTCTTTTGACCCACTGAAGTGAATTGTAGCAATCTAGCTTAAGGAAATAATTAGATGCAGGATCAGAAATGTCTTGGCGGGATGCTCCTTGCAACTTATCCAAGGAGGAAAGAGCAGGGGCCGACTGAGTCATTCCACCGGTACAGGGCACAGCTGAATGAATTGTGCTGTGTTCATACCAGGGAAGTCAGGTATGTAAAGACGGTAGCGATTCTGGAAGTAACGTGAGTAAAAACGTAATATTTAAAACGGCATTTTCACATAAATCCAATGCGGCCCTAATGTTTGCACAGAAGGGAGCTGGTTGTTGTTTAATTGTGTTGAGTCAGCTCTGCCTGGTGGACACACACACACACACACACACACACACACAAACACACCCCATACAGCAGAGGAAAATGCCTAGTTCTGGGCCAGCTCCACCATCGTTGCTCTGCCGGAGCCTGGGATTGCAATCCGAGTCTGCTCAGTGCCCCCACTGTGAGGTGTGCTTCTCTCTGCACTCCATCAGTCAAAATTCTGTGGAGCTCCGAAGGTTTTCATTGGCCAATATGCAGAAGGAGGTCACCAGACCTTTCTGCATCATCTGCCTTATCTGAAAGCTCTGCTAAAAGCTGTCCAGGAGCGGC